GGGCGGCGGAGGGAGGAGTGCCCGGCGTATTCGGAGGTAGGGTTCATCCGTACGAGCTGCAATGAAGTTGCCCGTGGATGGCTGCAGCGCGTGAGGGGTAGGGTAGCAGGGAAAGCGTGGCACGGGGGAAACTTGCAACGCCGGGTGGTGCTTTTTGGCAGCCCTGGGCTAGTGTCTTCGTGACATTCCTCAGGGAGAAGCGTAACAAATCAGTGTACGTTCTGATCTCCGAAACCATCGGCGATGTATTGACCAAGAGGTATTTAACCTGTTTACACTCTCTCCACAGGATAATCCGACTCCAGTCCCTGTCTGTATACGTTTAACCCTCTCTCTGCACTAAGACGTTCATAGGGTACAAGGGGGATGGTTTTTTTCCCTGCAGTTCCATAGTCCTGCTCCTCACCCCCTCAGCCAAAACCAGCTGGTGCCCTGGAGGGAAGCGGGGTTCCTTTGGTGGGGTGAAAGCAAGCACCCTGCATTTCCAGAGTCCTGCTTCCAGGCAAGATAAACCCTTCCCAATCAGATCTGCAGGTGTGTATTGGCAACTATATGGACCAAGTAAGGTCCATTTAGAGCTTGACTATCCTTGTCATTAGAAAGTTGCCATAAATCCTCCTGCTGCAACTTAAAGGTCAGGGTTCTATCCCTAGTAGACAGAGTAAGTTGTTCCCTTTTCCCAACAGCCTTCTACATATTTAACGACATCACATCTCTGCTCAGCATCCTCTGAATTTCAATTTGTACCATTTAAGAGAAGTTCCCAGTACTCCAGGACACAAAGTGTTAATTGGGCCGAGCCGACATCCCCTGTTCCAGGAAGCAGTTTCAACAAGTAACACAGGAGTAACTCCGCAGCACAGCCAGCAGCCACACACCACCGCAAGGGCTGACTTAGCCCTCATCGATCTCCGAAGTATTTTTGCTCCTCTAGACTTTCTCTAACTGAAAGATATTTTTAAGGTTGACATCTAGAACAGGGCACACGCGCAACTATAGCTACAACCTTAATACGAGAGTCACCAAATTACTCACTTCTTAAAAACTGCTTGAAGCCTGGTTGTGAAGATGGGAAGAAGTGTTGCAGCCAACAGCAAAATCGCCTTCACAGCTGATTATTTCTAGTTACATCATACACTAAGGGTGATTTCTGATCTCCCAAATATCCTCGCTGCAAGAATAATACACTAGGACTGTGACATTGCTCTTTGACTTCTAGTGCTTATGTCTTGCTCCCAGCAGCTTTAAAAATATGCACTATACACATGGCAGAGTGAAGAAAACATTAAATGCATATTGTCCTAAGACACACAATTGTATTATTTCTTTCCAATCCTGCAAACATGCCAGCCACACAAACCCATTACTGAAAGGAAGAGACTCACACTCAAATATATGCTTAATTTTATTTATTACATTTAAGAAATATTAACATCTCAGGATATCTGGTTTACCATCTAAGTCCAGTCATAAGCAACAAAAAAAAAAAACGTTAACCATGTTTCAAATGAGCATTCTTACATTCATTCCCCCCTGTACGTAAAGAAAAGTTTGTTCAGCTGTATTAAATTCTTATGTGTTTGACTAACGGAAAAAAAAAAAAATCATTAAAAATGTCTTAACTACCAGGCATCCTGGTTTGTTAATTGTTTGTTGGCACTTGTGTTCACAATCAAGCACTCCGGTTGGTTTGTTAAATTTTCCCCTTCTACCCAGAACTGTCTTTTTGGGTTTTTGGTTTGTTTTTTGTGGTTTTTTTTGTTTGTTTTGTTTTGTTTTTAAATATCTGGATATCTAAGTTTGTTCAAATAAGTTTAAAAAGAAAAGAAATCTAGGGTTGTCTGTCTGAGAAGTTCCTGCACTGCTTCCCTTGATAACCCACCTATGGGATAACTGAAGGAAGATATTTGCTTTCATTTTTCTGAATCTTATTGAGCAAAAAGTTCTTTTTAATTCCATTTAAACTGAAAAAAGTACAGAAACACTGTCTTCATTTGATGGTGTGCATAAACATTACACTCCATATATAGCAAAAATATCTTTTATTTATAATTTACATTTCCACAAGTGAAAATTGTACAATTTTACATATACCGTTTCATTCCATTAAATTTTCACGCATCTACAGAACTTTCACACAATGACACCTGAAACTGTGCAGGCAATAAGAAATTCAAATACAAAAATGTATTTATTAACCAAACAGTAGCTGAGGCCCTGCCTCAGTTGAACGTTTTTATTTTTATATAAAAAGTATTTGCCTTCCAGAGTTAACACAGCAGCTCTTCTGTAAAAAAAAAAATCATACCTCAGTTTATTTAAACAGACTCATCGGGTTCTGTTTTAATATCTGTAGATGCAGGTGTGCTCTCTTCTGCACAGGCAGTAGGGGTGTCATCAGGTTCTTCTTTGACTTTAGGTGAGTCACAGGACTCTTGTGTTTCTTGTTTAACAATGTTCAACATTATATTTAGTGGATTTTCTGCAGGAGTCTTGCTGGGAGATGGTGTGCAATCAAATGATGATGTCTGCAAAGTGAAAGTCAATGTAGCATTAACACACATTAAAATAACCATTTTCAGCTTTTTATCCCTTTTACTCTCTTGCAAAATGCAAACACGTTGAAAGTCAGGCACTCAAAATCCAAACCTCTACTTTACCAAGATCTTAAAACACCACATTTATTCTTTAATAGCATTACTTTTTCACAATTACTTTGAAAAGGTATCATCCAAGCAGTGATGAAATGCTTAACACATTACCATAAACTATTCCCTGCTATCCGCAGGGGAACTCTTAACTCCCAAAGCATTAAAGAACGTAACACGCACCAACACCCATGTACTCCATTTCTGCAAATTCCTAAGATTACACAGGTTACTCAACAATAAATGCATGATGTGTTTTCAAACCATGGTTTCGCTTTAGTCGTGTATGACACACAAGCTGTCATGGTACGTCACAAGAAGTAGTACATCTTAGCTAACTCTGTATTATAAACTTGCCATGCCCAAGGCCTTCGAGTCTTTGTCTAGTCATAGGCAAGAGAAATGGGTAGCACATTCTGAACACATCTGCTCCCTGCAAAGTCAGAGATCAAGCAAACAAACTGAAAGCAAAATGCTTCAAAAAATATGAGGAAGGATTCACTTACATTTTGGTAATCTTCATAGCAAGATGGATGGTAAATCTGAAAAAGAATTGTTGTACATTTAAATACATAAAAATAAATTATACTTGGATCACAGGTTATGAACAGAACAGTGTCGATTACACGTATCACATGATCTGTACAGAAAAACAGTGGTATGAGCAGGCCAAGTATGGTGTCAAATGTAACTGGGAAAACATTTTGTGTATCGTTATTTAGGAAAAGTTACCATACAGAAGCCTGGTAAGTGCTGCGAATTATTTGTGTACAGCTGCATACAGAAAGAACTGAACCAGTATCTACACCCATATATAGAGACATTCATTTTTCTTTTAGCACTGCAGTGTAAGGGAAGGCTAGTGAGCCTATACTAATGATACCAGGACTTCATGCACTTCCAAAGGTTGAGATTCATGTACTTGGCAGCCAGAAAAACTACCATGGGAATCCTTCAGGAGAGAAAAAGCACTTGGCCCTCCCGGGGGTTTTTTGCTACAATTCTTTTGGGTTTTTTTACTACGAATTAAGTATCACATGTAAATAAGATCAGATTACCTTTTCATCTACTCTGATAGCATTCTTCAGGTGCCACTCTTCCTCTTCCTCATCCCAATACTGTTCAAATTGCTCTTGGCAAATTTCACAGCTCTGAAAAGTTATTGGAGTAACAGAGATAAATGAGGTTATTGCAACAATTTACTAAACACATGAACTTCAAGAACCTAGTAACAGTCAAACAAGGTTCTTTTAAACTAACATAAGTATGTTAAGACTACAACATGATCTTTCCTCCACACTTTAAAAATAACTTTAGAAAACTTTAATTAAAAATTATTTGAGTATAGTTTGCAGAGTGAGCAACAATCATCATCTAGCCTTGAAGACTGTTGTCACTTCAGAAATGCAAGCTTTGCCCTTTTAGCCAGGAAGTCTCTGCAAAATGCTTTTTTAACAATCTAATGCTGTTTTACCGTCATGTAAGATAATCCAGGACAGGGATTTAATTGATTTTATTTATGGCATTATCTTCACTCTTCCCCTTAACCTGGAGTCTCAAATTAAAAAGGCAGAACTTTTAGATGAAGTATTAACATTTTTAGTACTTCTGTGCAAAATAGTCAACTCGGAGAACAAAGCAGAAAAGGTACTTTTTAAAATTAAAACAAAGCCTTCATGGCTTGATAGCTAGTTTCTTAGAGGCTTAGCATGTTAAAACTAAGTTGTAATTCTACCAACGTTTGTATTTGATTACTACACCAATTCATCTACCAAAATACAGATCTACTGGTTACTTTAAGATTGAGATATTTCTTTGTCCTAATGCCTACCTTCTACTGAAAAAGAAATTTCTGTGTAAAAGTATCAAACACCCAGTAAACCCAATCATTATTTGAATGACAAAGGACCATTTCCAATTCACTTGCTCTATTTACTCTTTCTGTGGAAGCATTCAGTAAATTAACAGACTGTCCCCATTTCAATTTTGCTAAAACGATGGAATGCCAGTGGGTGTACATTTTTTTTTTAACTACAGGTGATTTATACTCCTATCTGCCACTGGGAAACAACCATTACCTACACAAACACACCACCTATGAAGTGGCTGCACAGAGGTCCAAGAACAAGACTTCAGTCTACATACAGCCCCCTGTATGAAAGAATGCTGTAAACTTCTTTGAAGTATTAGATCATCCTCAGTATCTGGGCTAATAAAGGCAAGCTGAAACTTACCTCAACTGCTCCAGCTGGTCCAGCAGGGACACTCTGAAACTCCTTCTCTTTCGCAGCTTCTTGTGTCTTCAGCACAACCTCTTCATGAGCTTTTTCAAAAAACTGGCTTTTTGCACGCTCCTCTAGATCGGCTATTTCTTCAAATTCAATCCAGTCCTAAGGAAAAAGTTTTCGTTCATACTCAGACACTGACAAATAGCCAGAAACGTTTTAAAAATACATCTCAGGAAAAAAGATGAAAAAAGACATCCCAAAAGTACCATATTTAATAAATCTCACTTCATTAAAACTGAAATGCTCCTCACATGCAGTATTAGCACAGTGCAAGCTTTCTCACAGTGCTACGCTTCAAAAAAGCTTTTTCCAGAAAAAACACTATCCTTCAATTTCCATTCCCAGTGCGATCAAAACAGTACCAATAGCTTCAAACTGTTTATTGTTCATCATGTAATTGCCTTTTGTGTTTTGACAGGCATTTGAGGACTACTTGAAATATCTACATCATTGTTTACCAAAGGCCAACTCCTGTGATGATATAAATCTCAACTGTAATCCTACAGCACATACGTAAGTACACCACAGAATCCAGCCTGTAATTTATCAAGACACATAATGCATTACTTACTGTTAAACTGTAGTACCATCTTCTGTGTGTAATTTTTCTGCTAACATCTTTTTCTGTCCGGTTCTGACGATAATGCCAATCTAAATGATCTGCATAAACATCTGTCTGTGAAGTAGTGAATCTCATTCCACATGAGTAACACTGAATTCCAGTGTACAGCCGATTTATAACACTATCATAACGCCTACAAAAAGGGAAAAAAAAAAAGTCTTAGCATTTCTTTGAAAAGAAATAGGTGAGAAGTTTCTCAGTAAGTTGCTTCATATGCCCAACAAGAGTAGAGAAAAAGCATGAATTTACTGCAAGGTTAAAGCACGCAATATATCTGAATTCTTCCTGATTTTCATAACACAATTGAAACATTCAAATAACAAACAATGGGCTCATATTAACTATTCAGTGGAAACAGGCTAGTGTTGTGTTTCATGCCTACCAGCTTCATCACTTAATAGTGCATAAAATGGTAATGCTTGCATTTGGCTCAGCTTTGCAAACTACCACAAAGGTGGTAAAATTAGTAGTAACAAAGGAAGAAACACTGACATCAATACATATCACAACCTTGCTGATGAGGTAACAACATGTAACTTGTGTAAAGATAGTTTTCTCAGGTTAATTTTCCCTCTTTTTCCTCCCTCAAATTCTCCAAGGCTAACATCAAAAACTGCAGGTCCTCTTAGTCACAAAGTAACACAGAGTCTTTTAAAAGCTCTCAGCTGTCTTGGATTAACTATCTAGATACTACCATGTCATTATTCTTACTGCACTGTAAACTCATTCAACTATACGCACTGTCTAAGTTCTTCAACTGTGAAGTTAGTGAGGTCTGGAACATTTTGATCTTCATTCTGGTCATCATCTTCCTCTTCAGCAGCTGGCTGGGCTGATGTTTCATTCACTTCTAGAAAGCATAAAGATACCCTTTTATCAAAATTTCAGTACACCATCAGAAAGAAATGACGTGCTCCTGAAAGTTATTTTTATTCAAATATTAATAAATACGATCTGACTATGCTAAAATACACGTGTACAATAGCTAAGTCAGGCATCTTCTAACACCATTTTTTAAAAAGTGTACAAGAGACTGTAAGTTACTCAGAATTTCAATTTAGGAAAACAGTATTTCACCTCAGTCTTTGGCATTAAAATTCAGTCAGTCTTCAGAGACACACAAATATTTCAGAAACTGACAAAAGTCTGATTATAATCAAGAACAAGTTACTGAGGCACAGCACCAAAGACAAAAGTGACTGCATTGGATAGCTGAAGTGTACAAATTCAGCAAGATACTGAGAATTTACTCCTTCACATGCACTAAATTCCTTCCCAAAAACAAAGTTCAGTTTAAAAAAACATGCAGGAGTTCACAAAAGTTCTTATACTTAGCTTCACACTTCAGCTGTGGATAAATGAGTAGTTAGAACATAATGGATCTACATACGTGCTGAAGTGGAATCAGTTTTTGACAGTTTGAGGATCCCTGTTGACAGCAGTTTAGCAAACAATTCATTGACATCAAGCTGTCCAAGGTGGTTATCAGGATATGAATGTGGAAGGGCACCTAGGGAAAACATCGACATGCAAGGAGACAAAAGGTTAGCATCCGAAATTTACTTCACTTTCATCAGCATATTTTATAACACACTTCTCCTTCCTGTTTCTTCCATTTTTTTACTTCAAATTACGTATCAACTCTCTTTGCTTTATGTCTAGCCCTTGGCTAGTTTCTTCCCCTGCAACAGCTTCCTTCATAATGTATTCTGAAGCGCTATCTAAACTGGCTGCCCATACACAGATTTCCACTGGATACTGTTTATTAAAATGCAGTATTTATCTCGTTTTACGCTTGACTATTTCACCAGGACCAATCTACTTCCTCACATACTTTAACCATTATGACTTTTTAGAAGCTTTTCATTACTAACCATTCATACACTGGGAACGTTTACACACCCTGGCAAACACAAAGCAGACCTACAGACCGGCACCTTCCAGGAAAGCACACCAAAGTATTTTTTTTTATAGCACAACTACATACCAAAACCACATGGTTAATGAAAACTAAGGAAAGCCTTCACTGACAGAAACCCCTGAAGAGATGAAGGTACTACAGAAACCACATCTATGGCCACCTTGCTGAGGAGGCTTCCCTTAGTGCACACAGACCTAGTACACCAGGACATTACAAAAGGGTAATTTTTGTGGCCACTAACAAACAGAACAATCCAAAAGAAATAAAAGGAAGTTAATTATTTTGTTACACACCTGCAGGGTTCTGAACAAAACCTCCAGGGTTTGGCAAATACTGTTGACCTTGGCCATAAGGCCCTGGTTGAGCAGACATGAGAGAAACCTGTGAAAGGAAACATTGAGGTATTTTTTGTATAATAATGCAATTATAAACTTACTTTTTCTGATTTTCTCAACTTCTAGACATCTCTCCATAATTTCACATATATTAAACTCCTTCCAGGAGCGACTCACATCAGTTTGTTATTGAAAGGTCCACGAATGACTACATAACATTTCCCTCTTTTTCATTTCCCACTAGAAAAATTTCAGAACACATACTCATTTTGCCTAACGTTTAAGTTAAAAAAAAAAAAAAATCCTTCTACCTATCGAGCCTTCAGTCACATTTTCCAAACACAGTACTTCCTTTTAAATTGCTCCTGTTCACCAAAACAGGGCTCATCAGAAAGAAATTTGAGAAACTCTTAAATGTCTATTAACAAATGCCACTGTTAATTCTTATCTAAGAATTGAAACCGCATCCACTATACAAAACACATCTTGAAAGCAGGGTTTTTCAGCAAACCAGCTACAGTGAGCTTCAGATAGAAAAACAGTTTTTATAACACACTTGTAATAAAAATGGCGGTTTTTTTCCTAACTGACTGCTTTCTGCATTTACAAAAAGAAGTTTAAATTGTTTAAAATTTTATCCCATTAGAGGTTAGCAGAACACATTACCTGCTTTCATTCAATCAGTTAACTCTTCATGTTCAATTATTATCCCCCAAATGAAAAATGCCCTGTAAAATCTTTAATCTACTGAAAGAAATGACATAATTTTCCACCGATGTACAGTATCACTTTCCCCTTTTGAAGAGAGCATTTCCAACAGGCAACAGCAAAGACAACTAAACTCAGAAAGCATGCTGGTGCTGAGATAATTTTAAAAGACTTTTAAAAGTCTTCAGAAAAATCTTCAGTTTTTAGAGGAAGAAAAACTGCTAATTCTCTATATAAAAATACTTCTGCAAGCAAACCATTTAAATTTAACACAATCAATTCTTACCTGATTACTTCCCATTGGCATATTATTGAAGTTCCCATATTGAGGACCCTGAAGACTTTTTTCATCAAAGTAATGTCCAGCTGCTCTCAATGGGAAATTCTGTGCTCCTGGGCCAGCTGGCCCATTGAAATTTGGTCCAGGTGAACCATCGAATATATCAGGCCTCTGGAATTGCATCCCATGAGATGGTCCATTATAGCCCTGGCCAGGATGTTCAACAAACGGACCACCTTGTCCATATGGTGACATTTCTAGTCTTGAGGCAGGATGGTTAGCTACATTTTCAAAACGTGCACCTTGAAGGCCAAGGGGCAAGTCAAATCTAGAGGCTGGCTGGTGAGGTCCATCAAATCTTTGAGGTATGGCTGTATCAAATCGTGGTTGTGCCTGTTGCCCAGGCGCCCTTTCAAATCTTGGACCAGGCTGTCCATGAATTCCATCAAATCTTTGCAGGAGAGACAGCTGTCCAGGCTGACCATCAAATCCAGCTGCATGACAACCATCAAATCTCGGACCGGCCCGACCCAGAGGACCATCAAATCTAAGTCCACCAGCTCCCTGGTGCACTGGTCCATCAATCAACCTAGGACCTACACCTGGCTGACCATGTGGTCCTTCTAATCTGAGTCCACCACCTGATGGTCCATGTGGCCCCTCAAATCTGAGCCCACCACCTGACGGTCCATGTGGCCCCATAGGCTGACCATGTGGCCCCTCAAATCTGAGGCCACCTCCAGGTTGACCATGGGGCCCCAGTGGCTGTAAATGTGGCCCCTCAAACCTGAGGCCACCCCCTGGTTGACCATGAGGCCCCAAGGGCTGACCATGGGGTCCCTCAAACCTGAGACCACCCCCTGGTTGACCTCGAGGCCCCATAGGTTGACCATGAGGTCCCTCAAACCTGAGACCACCTGAAGGCTGACCACGGGGACCCTCAAACCTGAGGCCAACTCCAGGTCCTTCAAATCTAGGACCACCTACAGGCTGCCCTGCAGGCCCCTCAAACCGCAAAGGCCCACCTATCTGCCCAAGAGGTCCCTCAAACCTCAGTGGACCTCCTCCACCAACCTGTCCTGGGGGTCCTTCAAACCTCAGGGCCCCTGCCAGCTGCCCTGGTGGCCCATCAAATCTTAGGGCTCCAGCTCCCCCTGCTCCTGCCAGTGGTCCATCAAACTGAGATGCACCTGCCCCCACCAAAGGCCCCTCAAATCTCATAGCAGCCTGCCCAGGTGGCCCATCAATTCTTGAACTTGAACCAGCAGCAGGACCATCAACAAAAGGACTTCCTTGTCCATCTACCCCAACCCTTGCAGCAGCCTGTCTAGGTGAGCCATCAAATAGAGGTCTGTCTTCCATTAATGCGCTTATCCTCTGCTTTGCTTCAATGCCTCCAAATCTTGATCCTGGACTTTCCGGAAACGGTGCTTTTTCTGGATCTTCATACCTTGTTCTTTTGAAACGTTCACTGAATGGTGATCTTGGTTCCTCTCGAACACCTAAAAAACCCACAACAAACAAGATAACCACTGACTAAAAGGTTGCCAATTATTTAACAGCTGTAAAATAAAGCAAGAACACATACCAGCTTGCCCAAGAAGCTGTCTTTCTTCACGATTATCAAATCTGCAGATTGCATCACCATCTATTTTCTGGAACTCTGTTGTGCTTTTCCCCTGTTGTCTGAGAGCATCTCTAAATTCATCTGATTCTCCCCAGCTGTCATAAGGATCAAAGTTCTTAGAACCTCTTGCTCCTTTAGTAGCGTTTTGTTCCTCAAGTCTTCGTCGACTTTCAAGTGGTGAGAGGTTATCGGCAAAAGGTCTATTAGTGCCACTTACAGGAGAGTGTCTCCTTGATCTTTCTCCAAATGATTCTTTTCTGTCAAACTGTACTCCACGCTTGGCTTTTGCTTGCTCACATTCTATTCCAGAAAGCAATGCATCAGGCAAATGATAATCCAAAATATCATCAGGATCTAAAAGATCAAGCCTTGACAATGAATGCTGAACTTGTGTTCTTTTCAGTTTAGCCTTATGTTCATAGTATGTTAATTCTGCATCCGACAGAAGAGGTTTCTTTTTCAAACCACATTTTTCCTCTGTAGGGCTATCCCAGACATTACATCTGTGCTTTCCTTCCTGATACTGGAACAGCTGTCGGATCTGATGAGCTACCATGAGGAACTCATCTTGTGTTATTTCGCCAGATGTTAAGCGTTCATTGGCCTATAATATAAAGTTAAAGTTTAGACTTCTAAGAAGAAAAGAAAAGAAAACTATATCCAGGACAATTCTATGAAGACAGATTTATTAGTATTACCTTCTTAAGTAATTCTCTCTTGCTTGCAGATGTCAATTCTTTGGGAATCTGTAAATTAGCATCCACACTTAACCGGTGCTGCTGCTTTGGTGCTCGGGGTGATAAAATTCCTTTGCCAGCAGGCCAGTTTTCCCTGTGTCTTTGGTGAGGGGATTTACCAAGTGCTTGGTGTTCTTCACTCTGCTGTGAGCTGAAAGCAAAAATACATTTAAAATACAGATTACTTCTTTATTCAGAACACAACTGTTACATTCCTATTAGAACTGATCATGGCAAAACATCACTATCACCTTAGAATCTAAGTATGCATAATTTCTGCATCTCACCAGTAGAAATAAGTTAAACTTATCAATTTTAACAATCTGAACATTGCCTCCCAAAGCTGACTATACTGAAGTCAGCAATAGAATTTCCACTGACTTCAAACAGAAGTTGTTTAAAAGATAGTAACTTACTTTTTATTTTCTTCCCAACCAGATTTCCACCTCTTGCCTGATTTGGATCCTTGCCAGTTTTCCGCATTCTCCTTTGGATCAGGAGAAGCTTTTGTAGAATGCTGGCTTGCTGTTTCTTGGGGCCTGTCTTCTTGGGCTTTTTTCACTCTCCTTGGATCTCGCACCTCTTGTTTAACATTTCTCTTATTAGAATTTCTTTCATCTCTTGCTGCTTGCGTGCCTTCTTCAACATGAGACTGCTTAGGGCCTATCTGACGTATCTTTCCAATTTTAGGAGTTGATGAAGTGGGAGATAAACTCCTAAGTCTTCTTTTAGGTGATCTCCTTTCTCGTCTTTTTGGAGAATGTGTAGATGGTGACCGTGCCTTAGGAGAGCGTGATCGTGACCGTTTTCTACTACTTGATCTCCCTTGTTTTCCACCCTGTTTTTCTGACTCCTCTGTAGTCGTGTCTTGTTTCTGAACAGCACCATTAATTACTTTATTTCTGCTGCCTACTGGTCTATGTTCACATGTCTTATGTTCCTCTTTTTCTTTTTTCTCTGTACTTCTCCTCTTTTCTTTCACCTCCTCCTCTTTGCCCTCTGACTTATCTTGAAGATGTCTTTTCAGTCTTGGATCCCGCTTATTAATTTCAGACACTTTTGTGCTTTCACATTCCTGGGTTTTAGTATCTTTAGTATTGGGTAGCTTATTTTTTAAAGGGGATGGTGATTTAGATTTTGCTTCTGACTGGTCAAGTTCTTTCTTCTGTGTTTTTTCACTTGCTTTCAATTTTTCTTGCTTTGTTGAATTTTGTTTTTCAGCCTGTGTTGTTTTATTTGCCTTGGTATCAGACTGACTAGCCGTGTTCGGTGGAAATTCCTTCCTATGAGGTTGATCTTTAGCATGAGAAGAATGTTGAGCCATCCTATTAAGTCGAGGATCCCTATTTACTATTTTGATATCATGAAGTGGAGGACTTGGGGATGGTTTGTTTTTTTCGGATTGCACAGCAGTCTGATGAGGTGGTTTGACTGTCATATGAGGTGTGGGAGACATGTGTTGCTTGGAAGGTGCTGGAACTGAAGCTATAGTAGATGATCCTTGCTGAACACTAAGAGATACAGCCTGAAATAGGAAAAAAAAAATCGAGCATTAATCTGCACAACAACTCATACCCAGAGACGGTCATATTTTGTCTCGAAACCAAAACTATAAATAGAAATGTCTTGAAAGTTATGAGATTCAGCCATTTAACTGAAAATGACCCATTAATTGCTAATCACAAGCATTAAAATAATGCAATACCATTACAAAAGATCAAATTTAAATATAATGCATAATCAGTACTAAGTCAGTACTGCAAAATATGTAACTTAGGCACATGTTCTCATTACAGCATTAGTTTTTCTATATATTCCACATGCTCAAGGCAACTAAACTGCCAAGTATCCGATCCAATTTTCTTATTTCTACACTTCAAAGATCCTTTATTTCGGTATCATCAACTGTCAACATAGCAAGACTTTCAATTACGAATGTAAAACAATACAGCTTAACCACCAGCTTCAGACGGTGGCATCAAACCAACCTGATCTAATGAGGAAACTGACTTTGTTTCCAACAGTCAGGCTTCCTTGTTCTGTAAGAGCAAATGTATTTGAAAAAGCCTGGCTTGCTGTGAGCCACAAGAAGAGGTGGAAGACGAGGATCACAGGCAGGCATCATTTTGGAAAGAAGTTAAAAAAAAAAAACCCAAACAAGAACTTCACTTTTTTTAACCTCTATTTTGAGTGTAATTCTTAAGGTTTTTAGGTAACAAATACTGTTCAGGAACCCGAGATCAACTTGCATTGCTCTAGTCCTGAAATAGCTACATTTACCTAACGTGAGGAAGAAATAACATACTGCAGTTACCAGTACTGTCCAAAAGAAAGTGAGACCCAACTGTAAAAGTTTCATCAACTATCCTACTCACCAACTGTGCTTTAGTCTGTTCCAGCTCCAGCTCTAATTTTTTTTGCTGAAGTTCTAACAACTGCTTTTGCTTTGCAAGCAATTGCTGCCTTATCAGTTGCTCCTGTGTCAAATTCTTTTGTATTTCAGGAACAGCTGGAGGAGTAGAGGCACCAGAAGTGACAGCAGAGGTAGGTGCAGTGGATTCCTCTGTCTAAAACCAGAATAAAAAAGTTACATTTAAAATCCTGATGGAATCAACTAACTCCATCTCCTTTAACCATTATCATGATCCAGTACTGGGACATAGTTTGTATAGCAGTTATAAATCGCATTTTTAATGCAAAATATAACTAAAACAATTTTAAACTTTTGCCCCACTAGAATTTGCCTGCTGTGACAGGTGTACGTCATTTAATATAAATTCATCAATGTTCCAAAATCTAGAATACAGTTTTGAAATATAAAAACCAAACCCATCAAATATTCTGAATTCGGAAACTCCTCTTACCTTTCTACAAAGGTCAGATACTTCATTCTTAATATACTAAATTGTCAAAAAGTGGCATACAAACAATGAAAACTACACGTATTACCATCTGTTCATACAGTAGGCATAAAAACTTACCGATTTATTTAAAAACTTAGGATTCACATGGATGCTAGAAGTATTCACATTTGGGGGCAGAGGTTTAATTGGCCAAGCAGGATCTAATGAGTTGACTCTGACATCAAGTGCATATAGTTTCTTCAAAGGAAAAATATCATCCCATGTGGAGCGTAATTTAAATAAACTTTTCCTAGTATTTTCATCCACCTAAAACAATAAAACAATTCTATGGCTTGTTAAGTTAATATAAAACAATTTCTTAAACTTTTCTGTAGAACTTAAGATTTCATTTATTTCCTATCACAGATTGCCATTTTAACACATTGAACTTGCTATACAGAATTTGTAAGCAGTGCAGATCATACATCTATACCAACGGAATCAGCAACAGAAGCTCAAATGTGGAATTGTTGTTTCAAGGCCACTGGAAGGTTTTATTGTGTATTGCCATTCTCTGAGAATTTTCTTTCAACTTTTCCATTACCAAAATTCTCATTTTACTTGCCCAATTTCTGTGGAAAAAATACAGTAACAAAAATATTCAAAGGCAACAGCCTCTGAGACAATACATTATCCAAGTGTTTGTGCTGAATGGAGTATAACAATGACAAACAAATCAGGAAACAACAAACTTTGTGAACAGAAAAGGTGTTTTGCTCAGCTGTTTAGTCACTGAAGGATTTTTTTTTTTCCAACAAATGCAACAAAAGGGGTATTAGCTAAAATGAAGTCAATAATATTTCGGTTCAGCTGCAAAATTAGACCCATCTGTGAGCCACAGATCAAGCGTACTTGTAGGACCAGTGCCCATTTTCTCTCTTCACCAACAATTAGTTTGGATTGTGTCATGACAGGCAAGTTAAAATTTACAGTAAAGCAAAATTTAGTTCATCTCATAACTTGAGTAGTTCAATTAAACAGTAAGTGAAAAACATTTGAGGACGAAATATATGCAGCTGTCCTGATGTCAATATCCCAATTCAATCATTAAGTATTGTAGATGGTTTTTGCTGCAGTTTTATTTTTAAGGTGTTACAGCAAGACACAGAATAGTCCGGAAAGTTTGGAGGTTCTTTTGGGGAGGAGCAGGAACTTCCAACAAAAATAATTCACACTTAGCTATTGGGGGGGTGCCTCTATACAGTTTTCAATGAGAGGGTATGAAGTTCACTGCAAAAGGTGCAGAAATGACTGAGCAAAAGTTTCTGACTTCATCAAGTGTGAAGATACCTTAGTGACCATTTACTGATAAAACAAAATTTGTAACAATGTCAGTGCTGGAATCCTACTTGCATGTTTTAACACGACCAATTAAGCTATTAGAAGTGACTGCCACTTTATACATTTAATTAATACACATTAATTAAATAGTTCTAGTTAGCCGAGTAGACAGTTAACCTATAAAACTCTGAAAATCAGTTATTATCCAGAGCTTCAGCTGCAACATTAAATGCAACTCAGTAAAAGAACATTCACAATTTAATATTGAAAAAACAAGTTATGTGTCTACCTATCTATCTACTCTACACACAGGAATTCAAGTCTTCTATGGTCATTATTACAATCTATTCCTTATTTCAGCATGCATTTTACATCTGGAAACCATATATAAAGCATACTGGGATCTCAGATCCTCGGCTGATATGTAATGATAGATAAATATGCAAAAGCTCCATTCATCTCATTCATGAGAGATGCCACTTTCTTAAAGCATACAGGAAACCACAGAAGTTAACCCTTCATTTCTGATCCAACTTAAATCCATTAAAGTCCAGCCTTTCAAAAACTGGACTTTGATTTGCCTTTCTCACTGAGGAATAAGCACAATTACTTCACTGGATTTAAAGATTAAGAGCAAAAATTAAAGGATATGGCAGCAGTTTTCAATGTTGAATGAAATTAAAACACATATTTGTAATGTAATATAGCAATACATTTTAAGACCCTTCCCCCCGCCAGCATTTTTTTTTTTTTTCCCAAATCACAGACCACCAGGAGAGAATCGGGTGTCAGTGTTATTCACTCTTCGCAGTTTAAGCACTCATTTTGCACATCACAAATTAAGTAAATCAGACAGCTCTAACTACAGGAGAGAGAAGCTCTGAGAAATCCACAAGAAATTGATTCTCAGTCTATTCTTGGTATAAAGACTATTTACTATCTTAAAAATAAACCAACAGTTCATAATTAATTGGTCTATACATCACAGAAAGTCCATCCAGGTAAGCAATCAGTAACCAAAATACTGTTAGTAAAATCTTGCCTGGATAGGGAAATTACAGATGTTTATGAACCAGACTAAATTAATTAAGACTTTGCATCTTTCAGCTAACATGTAACTCACATGCTTAACTTGCAGGAATAATCTTCCACGGTATAGATACAGTACTGAGATTTATAAAAAACAATCAATTTGTATAGTTCACCGCCCAAGAAAACCCAAAACTGAAAGCATGTATTTATTTTACCAGGAACAAATTTTGCTTAGAATACAGAACTTTTCTGAAAGTGTATATACCTTTTCAAATACACAAATAAATGTTGCAACTAGGTTTTTAGTAAATGCAGTAAGATATTCTCTTCCCACATTCTTGACAATGGAATCCATAAGGTACATAACAGGGAGCTTCTCTGATGCAGGAGCCTGGAGTAATAAGAAGAAACTGAGAAGTTTAGTACAACAAAAACATATTTTAAGCTTTTTAAATAAAGGGATTACCAATCCCAGAAATACAGACCTCTCTTTTTGGTTGCCACTATAAACACCAAGGGATTTGGCTTGGGATTTTTTGTTTATACAAAAACTTAATCTGGAAAATCGATACTCAGTTCAAAGTATAACGCAGTGGGTCTATCACACAAAAAAGGAACACCTTAGGTTATCTTGTTTGCGTATCAAAGCTTTGGAAAAAGGCAAAAAAAAAAAAGAAGAAAAAAGAAGCCCACAAGACAGTATTGCTGCTAGCGTACTGAGTGTAACCTTTCAAAACCCACTTGAGAAAGCAACTTTAAGTTAGCAGGAAACCATCGTTAGCACTTCAAGGAACTTCTAAAAAATAGCTTTATCATTCAAACCTCCTGAATGCTTGTTTTTCTGGATTTCACAGAACACAAATCAGACTTCTGGCAAATAGCCCAAATTAGTGAACTTCTGTAGCTGTAGATTTTATGTCGAGTATCACAGTCTTTTCATCAACTACAGGCAGAATAGGTCGCAACTATTTCATTGTAATCCAAACGGACGGAGCAAGGAGTCCCACTCTCTCTTGGCACTTGTAGATAGTGACAGTTCAGATTTCCAGAGTGCATGCAAAAATGCACAGTCAGAACAAAGTTCAAAATCCAGACAAAACTCAATCATCTAGTCGACCCGGTAAATGCACAGACAAGCTCAGGAACTGCAACCACGATTTTCACAGAAGGGAGTCTTCAAACTCTGGACACATCTTTGCTACAAGAGGAGGCTTGTTTTTTGTTGTTTGGCTTTTGGTTTTGGTTGGGTTTTTTTAAATCCATTTTCAAAACTTGTAGCAAGTTTGTGTGATAGAAGTGTGATGATGCTGGACTGCTACAGCGACTTCTAATGTACACAAAACACTACTGGCCCAAATCAAGGTGATTTTAATGCCCACCATTGGCTTTCACAAAGCAGAAGGCACAGCAAAGTTCCAGAAAACATCAGCAAGTACACAGACTTGTTGAAAAGGACATGAAAGGCAACACCACAAGCTGTGTGTTGACCGTGATCCCCTCAGAAGAGCATCCACTGGTAATAAGTCCCATTCACCATCCGGTAAACTCAGGATAAAACCAGAATAACTTCACTCACTGCTTATTTTAAACAGGATAGGCTACTAGGTTAATTAACGACACCTTATTTCACAGCCCCATTGTCCAGACAAGTGTGTGGAAGTGCTCTTGCTTTACAATTTTAGATTGAATTCCTTCCCCTTTAAGGTGGTTCACAGAAGGGCACCGAGTCAACAATATTTTTATATGGGTAAATCACAATGTTTCCTCGCCCTTAAATGTGTATTAATTTACCATGACCTGAAACTTAATATTGAAGAGGGCAGAATTCCTTGTTAGTTGGGGGCTGGGGAGGGCAGGGGGGATGTCACTGCCTTTGAGCATACTGGAAAAAGCAAGAACAGGCAGGCAGTGTATTTTGTACACAGAAAGACAGAAAAATGCAGTTAAGTTAGCTAAAACTAATTGCAGCACATTGAAAGCCTACCTTACACTATGACGTAATACTGAGCTGTAAACAAGCTAATATGCAAGTGTTAGAATAAAGGCATCTCTCTAGTCTCAGAAATCAAACACTGTGGGTCTACAGCTACTTCATATTAAAATGCCTGTGGAATACTGGTTTCTTCTTTAAAGCGGTCTGCACAATGGCACATTAAAACCACTACTCTTAAGTTATGAATGCCTTCCTTCATAAAAAAATAACAGTGCACCATTTCTGACTTTTAAAGTCAGCTGTTAGGGAAACAAAGAGCTGTCTCAGAAGTACCTACACCCAAGAGCTACTGACATAGTATGTTATATTCTTCCATGTCACCAATGTATGGAAGTAGCTCACCATACTCAGCTAAACTTCAAGTTTGAGACGCTGGGGAATCATTTAGTAGCAAAGGCACTGTAACAAGTTTAACTGTTACTTTCATTATGCATCAGACTGTTAGAAGTAATCATACATGGAAGCACCGTAATCTAGTAAGGAAGCCTACTTCGAACTACGGCACAGAATTAGCAGCTTAGCAGCGTACCCTGCTTCAAATATAAGCTACTCAGGTGTGACATTTTAAGAACCATGACTTAAATATGGTTGGAATATTTAAGTCTTCGCTGCTGGAAACGTTTATTATGTCAAGGTACCTAGCGCATATTCCAATAACCACAAGAGGGAATCCCAGACTTGAATGTATTTTGTTTTCAGGCGGTCTATACAGTATCCCCTAGCAAGAAAGATGCCCACATGACACTAACCAAAAGACAGGGAAGCGCCGCATAATCACCAGAACACAGAAGAACGCTAACTCTGAGCTCATCAGCATAATATTAAAGACTTCATTACAGAATTCCCACTGTTCCTTCAAATAATGTAGGAAAGCTATTGTTGGAAATGTGTGGCTCTTTTTTATTAGTTTCCTAAAAGATTTCAAGTTTAAAATCGTATCTGGCAATTGAACCCCAAGTCACAAACTTGTGCAAAAATTTGTTTTAAAAAAACAACCTTGTATACAAATGGGTCTTGGAAACAAATTCTGCACTATACAATGGTAAATAAAAAGACAAATACATATTTCACACTTTTTATTTACAAATTTTATAATACCAGTCACACATTTCAGAACCATTTATTAAATTGTAAAGCAGACCACTCAAGTTTTACACTAAACAAACTGTCTCCAGGCAACACTTTTTAAAAGTGGCTTAGTAAAGGAGATCACTTTCCCAGAAACAACTAAAAACTTGCCTTCAATAAACCACAGTCACAAACAGTAACTAGGCAAAACTAACCATTGATACAGGATTTAAGACATCTTAAAAAAAAAAACCCCACACTTCAGGGCAGGCTCTAAATCACCCAGAAATTAAAAAAAAAAATTTGACAGCATTGATATTTATCACAAATCATTTTATACACATCCACTGCCCTTTAGGAGATATAATGGTGAGATCTATTAGATTATGAGGTCACCTCCCCAAGGAATGGCAAAACTCAGCCACTGGCAGCATTTAAAACTAGACTGGAAGAGGTCTGTGGAACACTAAAAAGCCATCCTGCATTGATAGAAAGATAGATTAAATAACTTAAGAGATCCTTCCCTCCCCATCATTAGAAAGTACAATTCTCACCATTATAAACCACGATTTAAAGCCAAAGGAAAAAAGCCTTTGAACACCTGAGATCAGAGGGAGCAAGGGAAACAACGGGGGAGGGGTGACTGGCAGGAATAGGGGGGGATTGAAAGAAGAACCCTTTTCTTACAAAATGCTCTTGTTAAAAAGGTGCTGTACCCCCCATCCATGTGCTGTGGCTGACTGATGTCAGCAAA